ACTAGGAACAGTGTTACTACAGACGTAATTAGTAACAACATTACTACAGATCTAACTAACAGAACTAGAGATGGAGTAACAAACTCAGACCTAACTAGTCGCAGTGTTACTACAGACGTAATTAGTAACAACATTACTACAAATCTAACTTACAGAGCTAGAGATGGAGTAACAAACTCAGACCTTACTAGGAACAGTGTTACTACAGATGTAATTAGTAACAACATTACTACAGATCTAACTAACAGAACTAGAGATGGAGTAACAAACTCAGACCTTACTAGGAACAGTGTTACTACAGACGTAATTAGTAACAACATTACTACAGATCTAACTAACAGAACTAGAGACGGAGTAACAAACTCAGACCTTACTAGGAACAGTGTTACTACAGACCCGACTGGTAGCAATTCTTACTTAAATAGTAATGATGTTACTAATGATATACAATATATGATCACAAAATTGTAAGGATAAAGATAAATTGAGCCCTCAACCTTCACAAACAGTTGTTGTTATCAGCAAAATAACAGGCTTATATTGGAAGTGGATAATAAAACATTAAGTTACACCACATTAGTTCAGTATTTTATATTTTCAGGTTCTTTTTGCTGCAGATTTGAAAAAGTTCAAGAACAAACCTGACACCAAGGTAATGACAAGTTAACTGAACATCCATTATTAAACCAATGTCATGCTAGATCATGTTTGTTTTGTTACTCAAAGTACAGTTTATACACAACATATAAGATAAAGCGGAAATAATTCTAGAACTCGTTTATTAAAATTTAGATTCTAAAGTATAATAAATCTACACTTTGGCTCTTCTTTGGGGCTACTCACCATTTAATCTTTACATAATAGAAACTAGAAACATAATGCAATATCACCTGCATGTATCTTATAAATTGCACCATTATCAAAAAAACAATCTTATACTAAATTATCCAATAATAGTGTGATCTTAATAAAAGCAAAGAATAATTATTATCTGAATGGGTAAAAGAATTCTCTTGAATTCTAATGGCCAAATGAAATTATGCTTGCATAAATGAGTGAGAGCAGGTAACATCCCCCTTTGTTATGTAATTTACATGTAACATATTTAACAGTTATCTCCCCTTTGTTACTCAAAGTACAGGTCACATCCCCCTTTGTTATGTAATTTACATGTAACATATATAACAGTTATCTCCCCTTTGTTACTCAAAGTACAGGTCACATCCCCCTTTGTTATGTAATATACATGTAATGTATATAACAGTTATCTCCCCTTTGTTACTCAACGTACAGGTCACATCCCCCTTTATTATGTAATATACATGTTTATTTTTTTCTTCTAGTGAAATATGTTAAATGAACAATTTCTGAGGGTAACTGTCAATTCTAGGTGAGGAAAGTAAACAATGGTTGCTATGGTGTCACTTGTCTGGTGTTTCAGAATATCTGACATTTTGGTGCTGTTCAATGGTTACAGAAAGTGTGTCTGTTGCTAGTTTGTTGTTGTGATGGGTTTCCCGGTGTTCATTTTGATATCAGTGAGCCTTGATGGTGTCATAGTTATGATGACATCACAGTAACTCTGATGTCATCAAACAAGACGAAAACATCATAGTATCACTGACCTGTTTTGTTTTTCACATGCACATGATCTCAAAGCATCATATTTCACCAAAATGAAATTTTATTCATGAAAACTACAAACCTATTCAAGTTTTCATTTTTAGCTCACCTGCCCGAAGGTCAAGTGAGCTTTTGTCATGGTGCGGCGTCCGTCTTTCGTCCGTCAACTTTTCCTTTGAACAACTTCTTCTAAAGAACGGACAGACCTAGAGTCATGATATTTGACTGAAAGCTTTGTTGGTAGGAGCCCGACGAAGTTTAAGAACGAATATGACCTTGACCTACTTTCAAGGTCACTGGGGGCAAATATGTCAAAAACTTCAAACGACTTCTTCTGAATAACTGGAAGGTATAGAAACTTCATATTTGGCTGATGGATTCCTGGAATGGAGCCCAACACAGTTTGAGAATGAAAATGACCTTGCCATACTTTCAAGGTCACAAGTGTCAAATGTGTCAAACACTTCAAATGACTTCTTCTGAAGAACTAAAAGGTATAGAATCTTTATATTTGATTAATGGCTTCCTTGGATAGAGCCCGGTAAAGTTTGAAAACGAAAAATGACTTTGAGCTACTTTCATGGTCACAGGAGTCAAATGTGTCAAACACTTCAAACGACTTCTGAAGAAGAACTGAAAGGTATAGAGTCTTTATATTTGGCTGGTGAGATCCTGGGATAGAGCTCACCAAAGTTTTCGAATGAAAATGACCTCAACCTACTTTCAAGATCACAGGAGTCTCATAGGTCTAGCACTTAGAACAACTTCTTCTGAAGAACTGGAAGGTATAGAACCTTAATATTTGGCTGGATATTTCCTGGGAAAGAGCCAGACAAAGTGTGTGAATGAAAAATGACCTTGACTTACTTTCAAGGTCACAGCATTCAAATATGTCAAACGGTTCAAACATTTGAAAGGATTTGTTCTCAAGAACTAAAAGGAATTGATTCATAAGATTTGGCTGGTAGCATTTTGGAATAGAGCTAACCAATTTGAGAAGGAAAATTACATTTACCTACTTACAAAGTCACAGCAACTTCTGAAGAAGAATCAAAAAGCATAGAATCTTATGATAATATTTTGCTGGTAGTTTCAACAGATGGAGCCAACAAAGTTTGCGAGGGAAATATTTTTAGTGCAATATAATATTTAATGAGAATATTTTGCTATGACTGCTTAAATCAGCAGAATTCAAATTACTCGGTCACTATTAAAGTGAGAAAGAAAAAGGATACATCGTTTTGTTCATTGTGTCATTTTTCAGACATTCAAAAGGTTTTGATTAAATTTTGGTAGCAGTGTACAGTAGGGTACGGTGGCCATGGGTGATATTTTTATACAATGAATAACCCCTGTAATATTACATGTATCAAATTTTAAAATAAAAAATCAGCACTAAAATTGGCATGTTCATGATAAAGTGGACTATGTGGGCTTCATAATTTTTCAAAAAGAAAACTTGAATTTGGTTTGAGACTAGTGTTGGGCATTTACAAATCTGTGTCTTTACAACAAAAGCTAGCTTTTCATGTAGTCTATTCTTGTACTCAGCACATTTGTAAATATTGTGAAAAATCCACCAGAATAACCTTTGTTAAAATGTGAGTATTTGTTACCGAGTAGGCGATATTTAATTTCAGACAGGTTTTAAGAACAAAATTACTACTTCAGGGGTCAAATTTGGGGTTAAAAATCATGTGTTTTTGCATCTTTTTGTGTTTTTTAGCTCACCTGGCACGAAGTGCCAAGTGAGCTTATGCCGTGGCGCGGCGTCCATTGACCGTCCGGCATCAATATATTACTTTAATCGACTTCTTCTTAATAACCGAAAGGCCTAGGGTGTCGATATTTGGTCAGAAGCAAACTGGGATGAAGGGCTACAAAGTTTGTTAAAAGTAATGACCTTCACCCATTTTCAAGGTCACATGGGTCAATTATGTTAAAAACTTAAAACATCTTCTTCTCGATAACCAAACTGCCCAGGGAGATGATATTTGTCCAGTAGCATGCTTGGGTGAAGGGCTACAAAGTTTGTTCAGATGAATGACCTTCAATTATATTCAAGGTCACAGGGGTCAATTGTCTTAAAAAACCTTTAAACAACTTCTTCTGAATAACCAAAATGCCCAGGGTGATGATATTTGGCCAGTAGCATGCTGAGATGAAGGGTTACAAAGTTTGTTCAAATGAATGACCTTCACCCATATTCAAGGTCACAGGGGTCAAATATGTTAAAAA